TCAATTTAGAGATAATAAAGGTCGAAAACGAATTTTTGACAAAATACTATTTAGAATAAATAATCTTAACCAATCTTTATAATACATCTCAAGGGCCTTGTACATATAAAGAACGCCAAAATCCGAGTTATAACGAAGAAGTTATGGCCCGTCGAAGTTTTACGGCAAAACCGACACGCCACCGGGAGACGTAAATAGTGAATTTTTGATAAAGGGATTTTTAGCCTTATCGATCCAAATAAAATTTGTAGTATATGTTAAACCGAGAACATACAAAAAAAGAACGCCCAAATCTGACTTCGTATGAAGAAGTTATGAATTTTATAAGATTTGGCATAGCAGTGTATGACCCGAAACTCGAATTTTAGTTCGGGCGTTTTTTGGACTACACGACCTAAATGAGAACTGAAGATCTCATTAATAGGAACTCAACGGTAAAAAGACAGATGAAAACAGAGTACGTATGTAGAAGTTATGAATTTTACGCGGACATTTAACAGTATAATCTCCTCGTACTGTTAAATTTAAGATCGGTTAGGATTAGCCGATGGAGACAAAATGAAAGTTGTAGATCTTATTTTTAGCTACGTGTGGATATAAATAATGTCAAAAACGAATGTCGTATGCGAAAGTTGCGGATTTTAGAAGTTAGAAGTGTGTTGTGCGAAAATGGGTGATGTGACACAATCTTGTCCATTGCTAACTCACCAAGTCTTTCCACTAGATGGTGACATGTGACACCTAGTTCAGACATTTTCACCCTATAAATAGAACCTCTCCCACCCTTATTTTCTTCACACATTTCCCATTCTTTCTTCTCTTTAATCCCTCTCTCTAGAACCTCTCTCTAGCCTTGAAACCCCCCGAAAAAGCCTAGGGAACCTCCCTAGCACGAGGAGGAAGCACCAGAGTGATCGACGACTCCGAGAAGAAGAGCTTTCCGGATCGGGAATGCTGCTCCAAACAAAGCCCAGTTTTCTATAAAACTCGTTGTAAGTGAGCTACGCCTACGCTATTTTTAATATATTTTTTATTTAATTATAGTAACGTTATTAGGAACTTATAATAAGTACTTGGGCTATTATTATGGGTTATATAAGTATTGTTTAATGCTTATATAATAGTAATAATAGCTAGACTATTAATTAGTCTCAAGAAATAATAGACTAAACTCTAGTGTTAATAACACTAGGTTTTGTTGAAGGAAATTATTTTTAAGAAGCGAAGCGCTGTCTGAGTTCGGAATCACCACCTTTTCAAGTGAGTGCATAGTCCCTTTCATGAACATGATTTTAATACAATTATTGATTGAAGTATTAGTTATATGTTTATGTGCGAGTTAATTGATGTTGCCTGAAATACGTGTTAAAGAGCATACATGATTATACATGATGATTTAGGATAAAGAGTAAACCTAAATTAATTATGAGGAATATTGGGTAGTATTTTCTTACGAGTACGAATGAGTTATACTCAAAGAATAGAACTTTAGTATATGTCATTAATCCGGGAGCATGGATTAGAGATAGTCATCGTCCTCAGTCCGCGAGTATGGATAGGACATAGTCATTCGTCGTTAATCCGGGAGAATGGATTTACGCATAGATACTTGTCCCTAATCCGAGAGTATGAAATGGGCACAATTATTAATCCGAGAGCAGGAATTAGATCCGAGATTATGGGTTAAGTAAGAGGTAAAATTTAAGGTCCGAGAGTATGGATAGTCTCGTTGTAAGGATTAACGGGGTGGGGTAAGAGTTGCTTATGTATATATGGTGAAATTGTATATTTTGTGAATTCTAATATATATATATATATATATATATATATATATATATATATATATATATATATATATATATATATATAAAACATTGTGGGATTGAAATCCCTATGTACCCACCAGGTTTCCCATACCTAACCCACTCCAGTTTATTTATATCACAAGTGTTGATATGAAGTCACATGACACTAGAGATTAAGGAGATATAAATCACTAGTGATAATGAATGTACGTTCTGTTTATGCTTATATTTCTGTATTGACAATGACATCCTAAATGTTTTAAAATGAATAAAAATACTTTTCTTCGGAAGTGCTTTGATAACGTATGTATCATGTTTTAGTGGGAACAAATTCCGCAACATTTTTATTAAAAGAGGTACTCTGATTTTTATAAACCATAAACAAAATTGGTCTTTTCTAGCCGTGAAATGGTGATGTCACACATTCTCCCCAAATTCTATAGTCAGACTAGCTTGAAAACGCATCGCTCTTGCAATTTCTAAAAGATGCTTATGTTTTCTTTCAACGACGTTGTTTTGTTGTGTGGTGTACATGTACACATGAGGTCTCTAAAATAATATCATGATATTCATAAAAATTTGTCATAACATTGGAGGTTAATTTCCCCCCATTATCACTGTGTATTTTCTTGATTCTTCCATTATATTTGGTCAAGACCATGTTGTAAAAATTAACTAAGAATGAACTTGTGCCAGACTTGTTTTTCATAAAGTAGACCCATGTGGTTGTACTATAATCATCTACTGTTGTAAGAAAATATCGAGCTCCTGACATTAAAGGTACCTGATACCCACCCTATATATCTTAGTGAATATAATCAAAACATGAAGTGGTTTTAATATTACCATCAAAAACCGGTAACTGAGTCTGTTTAGCTCATACAAAGGAATCACAATTATCAATACTAGCTACGTTACCTATAGAGTTAATTTGTTGAAGTTTATAATTTGATGTATGACCTAGTCTTCTATGCCAAATTTCAAAATTCATAGCGACAACTATAGTAGTAGTTCTCGTGTCCATCCTTTATATGTATCCATCCTCTATATATGATAGAGACCATCCCTATATCTCCCCATGCCAATCAAATTCCTCGAGTGTAAGTTCTATAAATAACAATAATCGGGAAAGAAGGTTACAGAACAGTTAAGCCCTTTGGTGATTTTGATAACAGATAACAAGTTGCATTTAAAATCAGGAATATATGGAATGTCATTGACATCCAAATCGTTTGGTAATTGTGCACTTCTAACGCCTTTTATTGCAAATTTTTTTACATTAGGAATTTTAATGGGTACCCCGTCGTGAGATTTCTTTAGAGATGTTAAGACAGAATCACTACATGAAATATGTTCAGTAACTCCAAATTCAATACCCAAGGAGAAGTGAAATCGATTTTATCTGCCATGTTTACTTATGGTTTAGGTGGATCATTCAGTTGTATTATGATTCTTTTGTATCATTAAAAGTTGAGGCCGGGTATTAGGCTAGTCTCAAGTTCGACTACAACAACCTTACGTTTCGCCTTAGGGTTTTCTTGATTTGTTTGTCGGTCTTCGTTGATGAGTTTCCTACCAATCTGGGTATCCGATTTTTTCTTTTTTTTCAAAACAGTCGTTAATGCTGTGGCTATTCTTCCCAAAATGTTTGTATTTTAAATTTCTCTTGTGAACAAGACTTTTGTCATGTATATTTGGGTTCAGATTTGATAGGTGGCGACTTCAGCATAAGTTTTGCAGGACATAGTAATACTCCTTTGTTGTTCATCTTCTGCAACCATGTGATAAACAGTAACAAGGGTCAGCATTGGTTTGATGCTAAGCACTTGAGTTCTAACAGTTCCAAACTCTTCGTTCAGGCCCATCAAGAACTCGTAGACATCTTCTTTCTCCTTCTCCTCAGTGAGCCTTTTTCTAACATTTCAAGAATACTTTCTACATGTACACCTAGGCTATGAAGAGAAGGATTGAATGTCATCCTAGATTCCTGTTAGTTTTGTGAAATATGTTGAAACAGACATGCCTTCTTGCCTCATTGAAGTAAGCTTCCGCTTTAGCTCTTATGGTGCACTCTCTTTTCCGAAGCATTCCTCAAGATCTTGCCAGATGTCTCTTGTTGTGCGTGAGTATTTTACATTGTCTCAGATCTCCTTTTCCATATAAATAGTCAACCAGCCTTTGACAATGCATCGCTGTGTTGCCATGCCATAAGACCTGATGAGTTTTCCGTTGATCGTTCCAGGGTGTCATCGATGAAGTCGACCCTATTCTTTACGAATATAAAGTATTTGATTTCTATAGACCAATCTGCGTAGTTTCCATCATTTAGTGTTTTGTTGACACGCAGTTGGCGAGGGTAATCGTTTGGGTGAATATAAAATGGAGAGTTGGGGTCATCTGATGGATTGGTTGACGAACCTGATTCAGTAACAACATGGGTAATGGCGCTTCAGAGTTTTCAAATGGATCAAGACACCCACTCTCATACCATAAGGAAAACAAAAATAGGTTAACAACAACAATTGAAAATATATATAGGAATATAGCTTAATAACAAGCAAAAATAGAATAAGGAAATTAGATCGGTAAGCAAAAATAAACTGAATCCTAATCAAACTCAAACTCCTTTACAATAAATTAAAAGTTGAATGCCCACTTTCATATTGTTATAGTATAGTTATGTTTAAAGACTTTTAAAAAAGTTTGATAAAATCTTTATACTTTTTTTTTTTATTGTTAGAAGAAATTTATTTTGTTTTGCAATGAAATACTGAAATGGTAACATGGGATCCGAAGATATGTATGCTGAAAGTGGAGTGGGAAATGGGAATTGGTTAAAGATTCGCTAATCCATTCAAACCACTCCTTGATACCCTTTTTCAAATATTTTACTTCTCATTGCCCCCATCACACGCTTTTTTATGACTTCTTGTCTCTCATCTTCAGCTATATTTCTGAACCACAATTTAAATAAAATTGAGATGAGATTCTAAATATATAAATATCCGATAACTGTTTAGATATGATATGATCTAAACATGGTAAAAGGTTAAAATCAGAACTTTATTTATTTATTTTTTATTTTTAAATACGGGTATAAATGGTTTGGACAGGGTTAATTTGTAATTAAAAAATTTGTTTATTGACGTTTTTAAATCGTATAAAAACTATATTCTGTTTATATTTTAAATATTTGAATAACTTTAAAATATATTTCACGAATATAAAAACTACATTATATGTAATATGTCTAGTTAGTCGCGTTTTCAAAACATTGTTTACAATTTACAAATGTTCATTTTCGTTCTATAGAGGTTGAGTGGGACCCACCATAGGTATCAAGTAATAGGGTATTTTCCTACATATGTCACACAAATCAAATAGTATCAAGATTCTAACACACACAATATCCATGGTCTACTTTTACACATAGCCATCTACCTTGATGCCAAATCAAGTAACTTAAACAATGCCCCATGTCTAAAAAAGCTTGCAACAAAACACCCAAATTTGGCATAGTGGTTGTGGAGTTGTTACACAAAACCAAAACCATTTGCCACAAAACAATTCCCATGACTAATACTTATACTCCTTCAATTCTCTCTTCTTTTAGCATCTTTAATCATTTTCATTGCTAATCATGAAAGACTCCTCAAAATCCTGGCAACCCTTTATAGCAAACTGTTGTTCTGTTGAAGATCAAACAGTGTTCAACAATTTTAGCAGATGTAGGACTTCAAGGTCCGATTTCTCAAAGAATGTGACTCCATCACCATCGTTTAGGCACCTATCTTTCTCAGACCTTAGTCAGTCTTCTTCTATGCGTATAAATGAGGACATAGCGCACACTTTTGGTCCTGATTTGTTTGACTTCAAACTCAGTGAGTTACGAGCCATAACTCAAAATTTCTCTATCAACTTCTTGCTTGGGGAAGGTGGGTTTGGTACAGTTCATAAGGGTTATGTGGATGACAACATGAGATGTGGAATGAAGGCACAAGCCGTTGCAGTTAAGCTTCTTGATATTGAAGGGTTGCAAGGACATAGGGAATGGCTAGTAAGTTTAAATAAATAACATTGTTATGATTAGATTAAATATATGATTGATTGTCTACGTATATAATCATTGTTTCTTTTGGGGAAATCATGAAGGCGGAAGTGATATTTCTCGGGCAACTTAGGCATCCTAACTTAGTGAAACTAATCGGATATTGTTGTGAAGAAGAAGAAAGACTCCTAGTGTATGAGTTCATGCCACGTGGAAGCTTGGAAAATCATTTGTTCAAGAGTAAGATGATCATGTTTTCTTTATAAAATTTTCCAATAGTAAGTATGTTGTGGATTGAGCATATTAGCTGTTGTAATTAATACAGGAATCTCAGTTTGCCTACCATGGGGAAACAGATTAAAGATTGCAATAGGTGCTGCTAAAGGGCTCGCATTCTTGCATGGTGCTGATAAGCCTGTTATATATCGCGACTTCAAAACTTCCAATATCTTATTAGATTCGGTAAGCATGTTTTTCTTCACAACTTTGTATTATAATTATATTATATGACTTGTTATAAAAAGTAATACTATAAATGTTTATGATTTATTATCTTTCATGAAATATTAAATAAATAATGTAACTTAATTAAACCCCATGCATTTTTACATTTGGCAGGATTTTAATGCAAAGTTATCAGATTTTGGGTTGGCAACAATGGGTCCCGAAGGATCAAACACTCATGTAACCACTAGAGTCATGGGTACTTATGGTTATGCTGCTCCTGAATATGTCAACACTGGTATTAATTGCTCTAAACTACCTACTCCCCAAACATTACTACTAAAACAAAATAAAACCAAACCAACTATTACTATTCTTCTAAATTTACCTAACACTTTGGTTGACTAGTCTTAATTACTTCTTCAATATGTATTATAAAGACGTAAAAACATGATGAATATAAACCCTCTACTTCTCTTTGTCTATATATAAAGGTTTAACAAATTCATTGCAAAATTGTAGGACATTTGACCACAAAGAGTGACATTTACAGTTTCGGAGTGGTGTTGATAGAACTACTAACTGGAAAAAGGGCAATGGACAAAACGAGGCCTAAGAATGAACAATATCTTGTGGATTGGGCAAAACCGTACATGACTAGCAGTCGAAGATTGCGTTGCATAATTGACCCAAGATTGTCAGGTCAATACTCAGTGAGGGGAGTCAAGGAGATGGCAGTTTTAGCACTAAATTGTGTGAACTTGAACCCTAAAGATAGGCCAAAAATGAATGAAATAATCGAAACTCTAGAAGGCCTTGAAAATCTAAAGGACATGGCAGTGATCTGTGGGCAATGGCCTGTAGCTTCAAGAAAAACCGCTAGAGATGCAGTTTTTTCTCCTAAAGGAAGAAAAGAAATTAATGGTGGTCATATATATTGGAAACAGACTCCTGTTAAAAACATAAAAGTGAAAGGATAATGACTAAAATATAGTGAATTTATTATAAAATTGTGAAGAAAAGTCAACAAGTGCTCCTACTTGTGTACCGATATGCTTATATTATAAGTCATATATACGTATAAATTTTGACAGATATGTGCCCTACATGTATGTCATGCTTGTATTAGATATTTCCTACTACCTTTTTTATTTTGACAATTGTACATGATATGATAGTAGTGTTTAAAAACTTTATATTATAGGGAATTTCACTAATCTAACCAACTTTGTAAGTGTTTTTTGAACAAAATAACCAACTTTCTGAATTTGGCAAGATAACCACGATACATTGCATTCTGGACCCATTTTAAATCGCGTAACCCACATTTATGGTATCCATGTCATTGTGGTCCCCAATCTTTAATATATATTAAAACAAATGTTATGACAACAATCTTAAATAATCAAGACTTTGAGTTTTCCTTAGATGTTTTAAACTCTTACATTAATTTGCTTACGTTACTTTCACTGAATTAATTTCACATATTGTTTATTTGGATAGCATGTTATAATTAAGAACATTTTTAATTATGAAAATGATATTACAATAAATGTTGTATTATATTATAATTAATCTACATTTTTTGAAATAGAATGCATTTAACTCCAATTAAATTTCCTAATTGTCAAACAAAATTTTCTAATCACCTAATATGTAGTTATGTTTTATATTTGAAATTCATTCATAGCGTAGAATTTCAAATCAAATATTAATATCCTTTCCAATTTTCTTTTTTGTAAATTATGTATAATTATAATACCATTCATTTGTTATCACATTTTCACGAAATATATTATCATTCCTTTTTTAAATCATAGCTATTATGTAGAATTTCAAATCAAAGATTGATATCATTTGCAGTTTCGTTTTCTAAATTTTCTATAACTATAATATCATTCATTTTTCATCACATTTTCTTGAAAGATTTTGCTTGCAGCATCACATTCGAATACTCTACATCATCAAAGTCAAATACGCCACCAACTACATCAGGTTAGCAATGATTTTTGATTTAATGCTCAATTCTTTTGCAAATCATATGATTATTGTTTATGTGCAAAATTTATGTGTTACTCTTATCTTTTTCCGTACTTTGGTCGAATTTTCATGTTATTCTCATGTTCGAATCCTTACTGATGTTTAAATGCATAGATCGTGTTTGCTTACATGCCTCAAAGAAGTACATTTTTAGTATCGGCTTAAATATTTGACTTTGTTACATTTGTCCTGGTCATGTTTATTGAAAAGTTTATGCTAGTGAGAGCCACTTGGAGGGTTATTTTCGTCCATGGAAAATTTCTTGGGGCGTCTACACTTATTAAACAACTTCTGACTCATTATCAGGCACATGAGGAAAACAACGAACATCATACTTCTTAGGTATAACAAATCTATTAAGCTTACCCAAGTTACTTGGACTCAACTTCAAACATCCTAAAATATGGTCCTAAAAATTCATTTTTAATAGTAGATAAAATATTTTCCAATATCAACCAAACATTTCAAATAAAAACTAATGCATCAATTGCCAAAAAATCAGAGTAAATCATCATATGTGGAATCCTAATGGTGTGTGCATGTTCATTGTTTGCATGTTCAATTAGAGAAAACTTAGATCTAATCAATTTAGATTTGCATACACACATGATTGTATGTTTTGCTCAAAACACTTCAGTGGTATCAGAGTCTAGGATTAGTTGTCTCTTGAATATGATGCAATTGTGAATTGTTCAAAGGAGAAGCGAACAAAATCATCATTCTGTTCAATGAACTCATCGAGTTGGTGCGTCAGATCTATTTTCAGATTTTCTTGCCTAACTTGATTTAATAGGTTTATATTTGGTAATTATCTTTTATTTATTCTGCCATAATCTAATATTTGGTAATACTAGATAGTTAAATATGGCCTAAATATTAGGAGATAATTATGATCTACATAATGTTGATTTTACAGGATTATAATTATCCTTATGGATATGGTTAATAATTTAATTAAAAGATTAATTAAAGGATAATTAATATATCTATATTTGGTTCCTAGATAATTATTAATTGGATTTAATAATTAATATTTTAGGTTATTTGCAATTTGAAATTAAAAGGTTTAATTTTGAAAATTTAAAATGATAAACCCTAAAATATATCCTTATGGATTTTATAAATGGTAATTAATAAATCCATACGTGGTTTAAGTTTAATTAAATTAAAAGGTTAATTTATTACAAGATTAAACTGTTAGTATTTTAAAATGTTTAAAATACACCCTATACTATATGTAAGATTAAGAGTTTAACATTTACTATGTGTATAAGAAAAGTTAGTCGAATCGCTAGCACGCCTCATTCACGAAGCTGGTGAACAAGGGGAGTTTAAGGAAGTGGCTTATAATATGACCGCCATTGAGTATACACTATAACCCACCGCTCTCATGACTAATGGAGGGACGTTAGCCGAACGGGTTCGATAGGACAATTAATTCTCATTAAAAGTATAACAAATTATAAAGTAACTAAAGCATCTTCTAAAATCCTAATCTTAGTTAGTTTAGGAAAAATGTGAATTAGATGCTAACCCATGAAATTGCACATTGCACCTTATTGGTCGTTAGTGGAGCGTGTGTGGTTAACCGGCACACTAATATGAACTAATATTATTGATAATGGGTGTCTCGTAAATTATCATTGAATAATGGAGTGTGTGGTTAACCGACACATTACTTGGGTGATAAATGACATCAAGAGTACCAAGCTAATTTACATGGTTATTCGCATCTTGTTTGTGATCCTTGACATCCCAGTCACAAAAGCGAGGGCATAATCAAGATTAAACATGTCATTAAATAGTTCAATGAATCTCAAAGATCTAGGAGTTTAATTACATTGAAACTAGTACCTACCTAAAATAGATTCGAATTTGATTACACGATCTCTCTTTAGAATGTGCTTCGAAAATATGAATCCTAGCCTTAATTTAAATTTTGGGTTAACAATTAAAGATTAAATAAATCAACTAACTTGAAATCTTTTCTCCCTTTATAGATGTCAAGTTCAGACAACTATGGTCTTCCTCATCCTTTTGGAATTGGTTTTCCTTCTGAAGATGATCTTCTATTTATCGATCAAGATGAAAGAACGTCCCTTCTTCGAGCTTTGGTGGAACTAGAAATCATATTTCTCCAACTCTTCCTCCACCTCCTCCAGTGATTCTCCCCGACCCACGTTTTCGTCAACATTGAAAAGATCAAAGTTTCTCAAGCCCTTTCGACATGAAAACACCAAGATGGAGATTATGAGTGTACGCATGTTTTGAAAATGAAGTCACACATGGATAGATTAGGAATGTTAGGTGTCATTTTCCTAAGGGAGCTGGGTGTTCACTTAGTTCTTCACTCGCTTCCTAAGCTATATAGTCAGTTCTTTAAGTACTACTATAAGAATAACCACGACATAACCCTAATTGATCTGACATATTTGCTAATTGATGTTGGAGCAGAATTGCTGAAGAGTACTGGTCAAACAAATGTGTTTGAAGGATCCATCTCCCAAAACTCCATGGACAATGGCAACAATGGTAGTCTAGAAAAGGTTTCTCTTCCTAATGGAAAAAGATCGGCAAAGGTCAAACCGTTTGACCATATGGTAAAGAGAAAGGATAATTTTTAGATAGTTCCATGTGCCATTCCTGAAGATTCCATATGTTTCTATTGCCAATTGAAGGAACATTGGATGCAAAGCTGCCCTTTCTACCTCAAAGATCGCAAAGATAAAAAAGTCAAGTTGTATGACTCTACTTCAGGTACATCCATTATCTAACACTATTAATTTCATATTAATAGATTCTTAATACATGATGTGATAGTCACATTTTGATGTTTTGCAGAATCTATGAAAAAGAAGGAAGCTTAAGAAGAGCAACATGAATCTGATCGTGAGAGATGAATTTTGGTCCCATGGTTCGATGATCAGATTTCTGAGCTGCTGATTAGGAGTTATGATAGTTTAACAGATTGCTTAGGAAATATCTAGAAACATAGTTTTCATATATATTTGCATTGTAAGGACAAAATTTTCCACACATTATAAATATAGCAAGGTTGTAAAAATCATTCGATGTTAGCTACTCGGTGGACTGGAGTTAAGGGATTAATCGGCTAAGCGAAGATTAATCGGGGGATTAATCAGGGACCATTAATTGCTAATTTGTTAAATTTTAAAAAATTAGATAGGACTAATATCATATAAAATTTCATAAATACCACTAATATAGGTTAATATGATAAATACAACACTAATCATACCTCAAATAGTTTCTATTTAGATATAACTTCTTCAAAGTGCTAAAATTTCATCGGGTTTTACTGTTTCAGTCATTTTGTATGCATGGATTAATCGCTAGGTGCTCTCTAATCGGTCGAGTAGCGCCTAGGGATTAATCGGAGATTAATCGGGACCTAATCGGGATTTTTACAACATTGAAATATAGTAAAATTTTGTTTTATCTTATTTACTTTGTATTTCCTTACAACAGTATTTATGAAAATTGGTGGTTATATTTCCATTATTAGCAATGTTAAATATGAATTTGATTCATTGTTATATCATGTGTGGTAATGTCATAATTGATAAAGTGAAAGTAATTCTCATCACCCAAGTTTCAGTTGGATAGAAACTTAGAGTCATACAATTTGATTG